GATGGTTTATGCGCCTTGAGATCAGCAAATAAGCGGTGGCCATGAAACGAACTCGGGTCGCCGGTTCCATAGCAAAGTGCTACGCGAACCACTGCTCCACCCTTGTACCACCGGCTTGTATGAGGTTTCAAAAATGTGATCCAACTTAAGATATGTCAAAAGATGTATTATTTGCTCTGTGCTGAGAGGAGTTGACACAAGATTCAGGGACTGTTTCTTCATCCGGGATGAGTCGCAGGCCTGGGAAACCGCTCTGGCGTGTCTGACGACGTTTAACTTGGCTTCGAAAGACAATTGTGGGGGATTTATATCCCCTGGTCACTTGTATCGCAATAATTGTTTGATGGTTGCCTTCCCCTTTAGCTTGTATCTAGTTAAAAAAAAATATTCACCCTTAAACGTTTTAATTTCTCACGCAACTTCGAATTGCTCGAGTTTATTGTCGGGCTTTGTTTTCGTGGTTGCGCCATTGAAGCTCTCCCCGGTGCGTTTTAGGATTCAAGCACCCGGCCATGTGCAGGGAAACATCGGGAGCAAATCTGAATAGCGCGCGGCACAACGTGCACGCTATAACAATTATTAAAATGTCGATGCGATTTTTGGTATCTTGTTTCACCAACTCAAGCATTCCTTGCGTTGTTTAGTGCAGAACGACTCGAAGACGGAACTCCGTGGAAAGGGCTTGCGCCGGTTTATTAACACAACGGGATAACGGTTTGCACCAGAGATAGGTGTCCCTACACTCGGTCCTTCCCTCGGACCTCAGGCTCTGTCCCTCGCCTCGGCCATCTCTTGGGCTCTCCACCTCGAGTTGGGACGGGGGTTCAGCCAACACCGCCTGACCGAGGAGAGCAGCACCTGACGTAACCTTAGCCGGCTCTGACAGACTTCTCAGAGCCCGACCCCTGACTGTATCTTCGGCTCTCCTACTCGTAGAGCCCGGACGGGGGATCAGCCAACACTATCAGGAGAGGCCTCCTTTCAGACGCTCTCCATCCAGGGCTCCCACAACGACCCCCCCCCCCCCCCCCTTTCATCACGGGGTTCCCCTTCAGTCTATCCCGTGACATGACGTCATCACGCCTCACAGCGCTCACGACGTCACGTCGTCATACTAATCCTCTACACTTGTAACAGAAGCCAGTAAGTCTCCGAGGACGAACACCTGGTTATAGAGTACCTACTCAAACGGTGACAACAAAAGATTCTTCATGCTACTAATGAAAATACAAACCATGTTAAAATGCATTACTTGTACAATGCATTGTCAATTGTATCGTTATGCATGTTGAACTTCTTTCGCACCGTACGTAGCCGACCGTGCTAATCGTAAGCGCGGGAATCGATACCGTTAACAATTCAAATTAATTTTATAGAAGCTTTTGTGACTGCAGGAATCCACACTCTTTGGTTCTTTCGGTAAAGTCACGTAGGTAGAAAAATAATAGATCACGAAGTTCCCATCGCAACACAAGCAATCGTCATCAGGTGGGACAACCACAGCAAGAAAAAAAAACTGCCAAAGTAGGCGAGAGATCTGCCGGTGGTCCACTTCCACTTCCAGTGACCTGGGTGCTGCTGCGGGGTCCACTTTCTGCCCCGCCTCCTCCCCACCACTCCCTTCTCTCTCCCCCCCTACTGCCGAGGCCTACTATATAACCTCGTGCCACGGCAGATCTCTCGCCTACTTCAGCAGGTGTTTCTTGCTGTGGTTGTCGCACTCGATGACGCTTTGCTTGTGCTGCGATCAAAACGTCGCGAGCTATTATTTTTCTACCTACGTGACTTTACCGAAAGAACCAAAGAGTAATTTTATAGAACAAAGCGTCAACCAGCGCTCGTAGGAAAATACCAGGACAGCCGGGTACAAGCGAGGTGGCCATTACATCGATTTTCGTTATCGGTGGTCTTGGTCCCCCTGATTAATGTCAACACGCCGTTCGATTTGATGTGCCAAAAAAATGTGCCGTCTCAATCCTTCACCGTGGAGGGAAAAAAAAAGACCAACGCGACGGGTTTCCGCTATTTTGTTGAGAGGCAGCACACGCAACCCCCTGCATTGCATCTACGCAAGGTACATATAACATAAATCATGACTTAAAGCTTTCGTGACTGCAGGAATGCACATTCTTGGGTCTTTCGGTAAAGTCACGTAGATAGGTTCAAAGCAAATAGCAAAAAAAAACTTCGACGTTGAGATCGCAATGCAAGCGATCGTCATCAGGAGAATAATAGTGGGAAAGCTGCTGAGGCAGGATGTTTTAAAGGTTTAAAATGGGTGTAGCCCAAGGGTCATAGGCCAAGTGGGCGGGGCTAGTTATGTTAATGTAAAAAATTTGCATGTAAATGTTATATGGGGAAGCTACCTCCATGACAACGAAGCTTCGGAGGTGGCCATTGTATTGAGAGATTAGCATGTCAATGTAAGATCGCAGAGCCACCACCACATTCGAGGAAAACGAGCAACGGTGGCCGTGTTGGTGAGACATTAAACCTCGTAATGTAAACGCATTTAACCTGTTCATGTAAAACCATAGCGTCGAAAATAACTACTCACATCGGAAGGTAGGATGGAAACATCACAGGCAGTAATGACTTAAACTCACACAAAACACGCCCCCTCTGGTCACACTGCCGAATGGGAGCCGACACGAGAGATGCATTCTTCGAAGCAAATAAATGCCCTCCCCCCCCCTCCTCCTCCCGTGTAGCATAAATCTCCGATGCATTGTGAATCGGTTAACCCTTTCTTGCTTTATTTACAGACGTTGACAGAACGAAACAAATAATACATGAAGATAGATAGGATTACAACGTTTTTATGAACATCCCATTCCGCTTACATGTTTTTGAGAAATAAGCGTACGGCGATGATGTTGTGCAGTGTACAACCAAAGCGGGGTGTAAAATTAAGCCTCTCGAGGACAAAATACTAAAAGTTCCCACGTTAATATCAATTGCAGAAAAAAAACTTTAAAAAAATAAAAGCCACAGTATCGTTTATCTTGTTCCACCACGTAACATTTAAACATTAAAAGGAATGGAACGGCAAAGAGGGCATATGCGCGTCACGGGCACGAGACAACGCGTGTATGGGAAAGTGCGACCATCACCGGTCCTGGATTACCAACCGAGTTGCCGTCTTGGGAAATCTGAAAGTCTTCCCACGGCATTGCAAGTCCCGGTGAATTGTAAATGACGAAAATAACACACCGTTCAAGACATCACATTTCACATGTCGTTCTCCCCCTTTGCGTCAGCATTGCCAAGATATTCTACTCATTCTCTCTCTCTGTGCCTTAGAGGCGATCATGGGCAGCGGCTCGGGCTTTTGTGCCAACATAGCCCACCCTGTCATGTTAATGTCAAACGTTGTGATCGGAGAGGAGCAAACGTAACGGGATTGGCCTCGGGGCTGTTAGCGAGTAGCACCTATGAAGGCGGGCACGGCACACGAGGGGGTGGGTGGCCAACACCACGCCCGGCCGCCTTTGTCGCCCCAGTGGCGATGTTTACACATCGCTGCACCAAGTACTCATTTGAGGCCGAGCCGCCCTAGAGGAGGCCCAGGACCAGTTCAGGTAAGCGTCACTGGTGTTGGCCGTGAGCGGGAATCAAGCCCGGGCCGCTGGGTTCGTAGCGCAGCGCGCAAAACGCTACACCACCGCTCGCACACAGAGACCCACGCAATGAATAACTTATGGCCTTTTGTCAATCTACTGCCGAGTGGGGGGAGCCCCCACACCATGCACCACACGCACCCAGCGACCGGAATATATGAAAAAAAATACTACTACCGCATTACGCATGTGGTATGTTTTCATTTGTCGAGGAACAGCCAAGTGAGTCTGTCGAGTTGTCCCACAAGGGAGGGGCAGCCCCGATGGGCGCCGCGAGGACGGCCGTTACAACCTCGCTCGCTCACTCAGCTGCTGTTATGGACATTTAAGACGGCGAAGAAGGTCAGCGGAGTACAATTGATTTCGACAAGAAATGTCCCCCACCGTGGTAACGAGGGAGGGCAAAGTGGCGACATCCACGTTGTATTGCGCACAGCCAACCACTTCAATAAAAACTACAACAAGGGCTAAACACCGGCTCAGAGCTAAAACTTGAATGAGGCCTTAATTAAAATGGGGGGGGGGGGAGTGAAGCATCTGTACTTGGAGCCTGCTAAATCTAACAATGGACATTGAGCGCCGCTAGGTTTTCTTAGCCACTCGTAATTCGCGCATGACCTTACGGGTTCAGGCCACGTGTCGAGCCGTTTTTATTTTTCCACCTCTCAAGCTTTTGCCAACGCAATCGTGAAGATGCCGCGGTAGCGCGTCGCAAAAGCTCGAGAGAACGAAATCCTCCACGCGAGTGCCGACCGGGACGGGGAGTAGGGGTATGGTGCAGGGAGAATACCACACACCGCTGCCGAGCCCTCTGGCTCCCGTCTCGCGCGCGTGGCTCTACATATCAACGCCTCGCCGTACACTCCGTGGCGAAAACAATTCCCACCGTGCGAGTGAAATTTGAAACAACTTGCGTACTGCAAAGTGGTGGTGGGCCACTGCTAATGGCAGGGTCTCCACTAGAGGGCGCTCCAACAGAGTATTAGTCTGCCAGTTGCAATGTGGGATCTCCTCATTTAATATGTGACAATTCATTCAATTGAGAGCCACTCACCTCCACGTGCACACCATACTGATATGTCACCATTTTCCCAGAGTTAGTACAGAGACAGATGCTGGGATTTAAACAATTGTGAACAACAATGTATTAAGTTAAAATTACACGAGCAAACCAAATGCCCTCCCACAAATCTGGTCCCGTAAGAAGAACTCGACAATTTACCCCTTCTGGACTTTACTGAATTGACCTAAATAGTTGTTTGTGTTAATAAATCCAAATGCCGTCTTCAGATTGATAACGCCCAATTATACAGACTCGGGGCTGTACCCGTCGAGATTCCTTTTCCAACACTGGGGCAGAACAGAACTGCAGGGCTAAATAAAACAATTATGCAATTTATTAAAAAAAAACATGAAAGTCACAATACTTTCAGGTGTGTAAGAAGAGTGCCGAGTTTGGATTTGGTCAATTCGATTTTCAAGGCATGATTATAGGCAAACGCTCCATGAACACACGGGGACATGGAATGGGGTAACGAATACAGCTGGTGCCCCGCTTTTCTCCTGGCCACTTCGCAGCCGCGAGAGATGCTTGTAAAACTTCACCCACGCGATTGACCAGATAAAAATTAGTTGTCGCTATTAAATCGTGTAAAGCACCCGTGGGCACTGCTAAGACTTAGAAATGCGCCGATGCAAAAAAGAAAAGTTTGCATAGGCCCATCGTAACGTTGATGCGTTAAGGTTCGGGAATTAAGAACACAGGTCCTAGAATGCCACGTGGAGCCATTCGCAGCTCAACCATTTTCACACATTGTTTAATCGCAACAACAATAAACTGGGCCAACAGGAAGACTTCTAAAAACAAATGGACATGCCCGTGCAAAGGTTTTTGCAACCAACTCTGCGTGCGACAAGAGACAGCATCACGCCGGCCTGTCTCACCGCCACGGGGCACGCCGCGTCAATGCACGCGGCACAATGCAAAATCCCACCTCCCATAGCCACATTCGCAATACCTTAGCTCCGAAAAGCTACGGCAACGCTGCGCGTGGAAAAGGTCGTTTTAAAATCGAAAATAAACACCGTATGACTGCGTCAGATTGCGTCGAATACAGTCCGAATGACAATCTTGGCGATGCTCACAGGCAATGTAACGCAAGTTACACCGGAATGCAGATATATTGTGCTTCGCTGCGGATTCGTTTTTTTTTTTTTACTTTACATGGAGGTGTCAGTATATTGTCTCTTCCGAGTTGGCCACGGGCCACAGCAGGCATCCCCTACGGAACCCTCGGGCGCGACTCGGGACTCGTCATGGCCGTGACTTCGCTGCAGATGCGGTTGAGATAATCCTGCGGTAACAAAAACGAGATAAAGACGAACATCCTCATTTAAGCTGGTAGTAGTATTTTTTTCGAGCGCTGCTTATTAGCAGGTTACGACTGGCAAGAGGGGAAATTAGGGGTGTGTTCAGAACCACACTTTGTCTTCATGCATCCAGGGCACAAATAAAAGTGAGCTCCCTCCACCCTACTTGCAAGGTTCAGGAATTTTAAACATTTGCCAATCCCTTTGATAGCCTTGCTTACTTACATTCCTTGAGGGCTTCGATAATCCTATTGAAATGAGAATTTGAGCACAGGAATGCACAGTAAAGTGCATTATTCTAATTAATCCTATTGAAAATCATCTTGATTGACCGCTTACTTCTAGAATCTTTCAGTGGTGGTACCAGACTAATGTCTATCTGGAACAGATACAATGGGAGGCTGATCAATGTCCGTGTAGGGTCAAGGGGTGGCTTTCTATTGTCAACCACGTTGTATATACTGATGATCTGGTAATTGCTGCTCACTGTGTGAAGGAGTGGGAGACTCTACCGCTGAACCTGGTGCATGACATTAATAGGGGGAGGGAGGGGGGGGCGAACCACCAAACAAAAGTACCTGCCTGAGCAATTTACGTCATCAAATCAACTCCCACGAGCAAATGGGCAGTTGTGCAGTCAGCTTCCCATACCTGGGCGGTGTGGTTTCACATAGAATCAGTGGGGCAGCATTAGCCTATTATCGGCTGACAAAATGATGACTGACACTGTGAAGATCGGCTTCTGTGGAGGAGGCAGAGGACGCTACCTGAGCAGTCGGGGGCAGTCGCCCTCCAACAACAACGGGGGGTGGAGCGCTCACAAAAACATGCCGAGTGTTAAGTCAAAACAGAGCAGGTTGGCACAGGTGAGGAGCACAGGTGGTGCATCTGCCCAGTCATCTCAGTCGACCCATAACTCCTCGGTCTGTTCCATAACAGACCCAGGTGTGTCACGGGATAGACACGTGGTCTTAAAGTGTATTTAGCCTGGCACGAGCGCTATGGGGACGCGTCACTGCCACTAGTGGGGAAATGTTGCTGCTATTGCAGCAGTGCGCAAGGACAAATTAAAAAAAAAAACCTCAATACGGCCATCAACAACATTAGGATAAAAGGTAAATATACATAAAATGTGACACTTCATGCAATACATTCTTCAATTTAGCTCAGTGAGTGTGTGGCTCATGGTACCCGCAGTTGTGTCATTGTATGCAGCGATTTGCTGTCCAAATTCACAATCAGTTCATCCAGCGGGGTGTCCAAAGGACATGACAGGACCTGTTCCAAGAAAAACACACATTCGTCTCAAGGACTTACATCGTCACAACTCGGGGTCAAGCCATTCAAGAGATTATTTGTTTTACCGTCCCACATGTATACAGTGAAACCTTGGATTATGAGTAACTTGGTCTGCGAGCATTTTGCAAGACGAGCAAAAAAAAATAATTATTATTTGATAAACGAGCGATGTCTTGCAATACGAGCAGTACGTACAGTATACGCTTTGTCTGCCGAGCGTCACGTGATCACAACTGAGCCAATGGTTCTTCTCTCTCTCTCGCTGCGGGATTGTGGGTAATCATCTCCCATGCTCGGTCTCAGTCGGCGTGCCTCACTCGTATAGCCAATATCCGTGCGAGCGTATACTGTTTACTACGTGACTTTACCGAAAGAACCAAAGAACACGTGTATACTGTTTACTACAGTACTATAGTGTTGTGACCACGTGTGTACTGTTTACTACAGTACTATAGTGTTGTGACCACGTGTATACTGTTTACTACAGTACTATAGTGTTGTGACCACGTGTGTACTGTTTACTACAGTACTATAGTGTTGTGACCACGTGTATACTGTTTACTATAGTACTATAGTGTTGTGACCACGTGTGTGCGTAAAGCATTTTTTTTGTGTCCAAGTGTAGTGACTGTTCTTTAGTAACTGTACTGCAAGTGAAAGTCATCCTACACAATAACCCTCCTCCTCTCTCTCGTCTCCCTCACACCAGCCACGATGAAATGTAATTAATAAATCTGATTACTTTATATAAAATTTAAATAATAAAAATATAAAAAGGTATTTTGTATTAATAATTTTTATATGAACACAGTATTTTTGGGTTGTGGAACGAATCATCTGAGTTTTCATGATTTCTTAAGGGGAAATTCACTTTGATATACGAGTGCTTTGGATTACGAGCACGTTTCCGGAATGAATTATGCTCGCAATCCAAGGTTTCTCTGTATTCAGTTTTTTACACTATCGTTTATAAGGTTTTCGTTTACAAGTATTGGAAGATGAGGCAAAGCTCACTGGAGCTGCGTAGCTCTTTTTCAAAAGCGACTTGGCTAGCACAAACTAAAGGTCAACAAAGTGGCGTACCATGTGGACATTTATAGCAGCCAACTACTCTAAATGCACGTTCTTAATGCGGAGGGAAAAACCGGAGGACCCAGAGAAAAATCCACGCGACCATGGAGGCAAGTGCAAACTCCAAACAAACACCAGGCGTCAAGGATGGGATCGAACCCGTGACCACATGCATACTAGGCGAGGTATTTAACATCTCGCCACCGTGCAAGAGGAAGGAGGTCTGTAAGGGGTCAAGGTTTCCAGAAAAACCACCCACCTGACCGTCGGCCAAGGGCAGGTTGATGGTGGGCTGTTCGTTCAAAGGCTCTCCATTCTGTGAGATTTGCACGCCCGATGTCCACGTCATGCTGTGGGCGGAAAAAAAAACACAGGTTCACGCGCTGCTCATCCATGGCTCAAGCTCCATTCATAGTCATCATCACCATCCCTAGAATCGGTCTCACCATCATCAGTATTAGAATCATCGTTTCGTGGTCACAGCTAATTTGCCGATTTTGTCAAGGAGCATAAAACCATCGCGGAAACTCCAGTCATCTACACGACAGCTTTCGGCGAACCATCGAACAAAGACGGTGACAGCATCGCGTGCTTTAAGATGCACTTCTGTGGCCGTCTGGAACACTCTTCTTTCCGATATTAGGAAGCCACTGGAGGAAATACACTTTTAAGTTATCTAGATTGAAAACTAATTTCTTCATAACTGCTTTATGTGTTTAGTTTGTTGTCCTTCGTCTGTACCTACGATTAGCAGCATCATCATCATCATCACCACCACCACCAAAAACAAAACATCATCCTCCATCAGCATCACCGCAATCATAAAAATGCAACAAAACTAATTAAATCTCGACCTTGAGCATGCGCGCTCAAGGCGTTCAATTGGCCAAACCTGGAGCTGAGCCGGTACTTCTTTACGGACATGCTCAGGCCGGTTGAGTTGGGCACAAGGTACCTCTCTTTGCCCAAAACCGGTGTCGCCTGAGCCTTCAAGAGCCTACGGAGGTGATGGAAGACACAAACACAACACTCAGCTATGTCCAAACAATTGAGTCAGAGACAAAGGGGAATTGAGGGCAGACCTTCACCTACGCGCAGCAGTGGTGAGATGTTTACTACGTCACCTGGTATGCAGGTCGTGGGTTCGATCCTAACCCTGATGCCTGTGTATTGGGACTTTGCATGTTCTCCCCATGGTCGTGTGGATTTTCTCTGGGTTTTCCGGTTTCTCCCTTCACATTTTGAATCAACATGCTTTTAGAGTATTTGGCAGATGCTGCTATAAATATCCACATAAGCCACTCTCTTGAGCTATTATTTGCGGCCCGGTTGCTTCTGAAAAAGAGCTATGAAGCTCAGTATGGCCTTACCTGGTTAAATTAAAAGTTTCGTTTTTAGTATGCACCACTAATGGGTTCAAAAACACACACAACCAAAGAAACAAACAGCCCTCATCTTGTAGATAGCTACACCGAGGCTGTGTTGTGTTTCCCAGCGTCTCCGACACGCATTTAAACACTTCACTAACACTGCAGCCAGGTCACGGCGAAGTCACTCCCATGGGTTTCACTGTCGACGCAGCGATGTCACCTTCACTGGAGAGCTATGGGGGGGGGGGTGGCACCTGTGAGTTTTCGAGTCTTTAAAAACACGTCTAGCAACCTGGGGACATACGGCCTAGGTCAGTGTTCTTCATTGCAAGGCCCGCGGGCCACTGGCGGCCCCTGCTGGCCTTCAGAGCGGCCCCTGACGTGCGGCCACCGACGATACATAAATGTGAAAACACCCCCACCATCGTGCTGCTTTCAAACCCAACAATGGTTTCAAATGTGTGGGGACCCTCACAGTCTTGTCGGTGAAAGTGCCCCCCCCCACCCCCCTTCTGAAGATTAGTGAATAACACCGAGATAGGTACACGTCTACAATATGAGGGCTTTGCCATTCCCGGATAGCGCCTTTCTTTAAATTGGTACGCATGCTTCAAGGACTACTCCGCATGTGTGGGGAGCGGTAGTGTGGCGGTTAGCTGCCCTGCGCCACGAACATGGCCACCCGAGCTCGATTCCCTCTCACGGCCAACACCAGTGACGATTATATGAACAGGTCCTGGGCTAGGTCGACTCGGCCTCAAATGACTACCTGGTGCTGTGTTTAACCATCGTTAGTTAGGGAGACAAAGGCAGCCGAGGGGCGGCGGTGGCCACCCACCCCCTCGTGTGCCGTACCGCCCTTAAAAAGGTACTCGCTAACAGCACTTGCCCCAACAGTCTACAAAGGCTATACGGGCGGGGGGGGGGGTCTCTGTCTTTACGTCCCATGTCCACAGGTCAAACCAATGAGATTGCTTGTAAATCGATTAACTGGGCTGCCCGAACCTTTCCGAAGTCCTCTTCTTCATCGACTGGGACGTTAAGCGAGTCTTCATTTCCGTGATGTTTGTAGCCTGAAGAACGAGAGATACGACGCATGCATGAGAGGCAGGACCGGGCACTGTTGAGTGTTAACGGACCAAAAAGAGATCAAAGATTCCCCCATATATCCTTTAACACCCATAATAAAGGTGGGGTTTTTTTTGTTTCGTTATATAGCGAGCACCCATGAAATCCGGTGCGGCACACGACAGAGTGGGTGGCCAACTCTGCACCTGGCCGCCTTTCGTCCACCCAGCGCACACCAAATGCACGCCACTGTTATTGGTCTTGAGCGGGAACGCAAGCGGGTCGCTGGGTTGGTAGCGCAGTGCGCCAACCACTACACTACCGCACCTCCCCCCATGTTGTCCCACGCGCACACACACACACACACACGAACAATCACATCCACCGATACCCGCACACCTATCAGTTTGTAAACAACAACAAAAATCAGCCACGTGTGTACAGAGCTTCAGGCAAGTGTCGCATATGGAGCTGGTTCGTCTCATAGCTGGAGATGAATGGAGGGCTAAACATTCACGGTGAATGGACTCTCGTGTGTGTGACAAGTCTCAGCTTGTTTTGCAGGCGACTGCACCAACTCACTGCAGCACTGCAGACACGTGGGGATGACTGCACTGCACACAGATCAACTAATAGCAAAATAGGGGACAGAACAGTGGTGAATGACGATACCATGTTCACTGGATCACAAGGAGCTCGGGAAAGCAAGACGCATCCCAAACTCGGGTAATTTTGAGAGAAAAAAAAAATGACGAAAATTAGACATTCCTGGAAACGGAAAAACAAAGATGTAAAATATATACATAGAGCAGTGAAATTAAGAAAAAAAAAATGTGTTTGAAATCAGGAGAATTTAGTAATGGTGGAAATGGCTTTGTGGTGACGATAAAGTAGTTGAATGTATCCGGTGCCAATAATGTTAATTTAATATATTCGTGCTTAACACTGCAAGTGGGCCCGCGATGGCACATGCCGCATTCTAAATCGCAGCGCTAAATAGTGCTTTCAATGGCAGACGGAGTGGTGTGGGGGAAACAGTGCATCTTATTCATCCAGACAATACGGTAATACAAAAGGTAAAGTTGCAAAAACCTTCATATAATGCATTACATGTGCCTTACCTTTTTGGTTTGTCTCCTCTTCATGGTTGAAATTAATTTGGAGCCTTGGCCACCGCCGGCCTTGGTGGAAGGCAGCAACTCCGCTGCAAACGATGAAAACAAAGGAGACATTGGCACGACGCCCGACGGGCACACATCACCTTGCACCAAATTGGCCGGAATGCTCTTGATCTTTCTAGCACTAGGGAGCGAAGCGGGGTTAAAAGCCTGAACACAGCGACTTAAGATGCGTGAACCACCCATCCGCAACAGGCGATTACAGGCAGCGCCGCAGCGGTGGCGGCAGCAGCCAAAGTCGTGCCGTACTTCTATACTGCCCAATATCACCAATCATCGCTGACCAGTGTGGTAAAGTATGGTCAAATAACCGGCCACGGACCATCAAGGAATGGGTAAGGCCCTCGCACAGCAGTGGATTGACAAAGGGCTGGAGATATGAAGGACTGAACATAATGGGAAGCTGTTCAAGGCAACACGTGATTAAACAATCCATAATTGCAATACGTCGCCAAGCAATCGGGTTGTCACTTGTTCGCCAACGAGTAAACAAGCGAGCCGTTCTTATTTGGATTATTATCATTGCATCTCGTCACAGTATGATAGATTAACATCCACTGTCATGACTAAAACACACGTTAATTTTGTCCAACTCAAATAAATGAATGCCAAGTTAACGTCACCATCTCAAGCACCTGTGTGAAAACATTTGCAAGATAAAAACAAAGGACTGCAAACTAAAGAAATGAGGAACTATTCTGCCCCGTTTGTTAATTCAATGACAATGCCTCAAAGACATCATTAGAGGGTTAACACATTGCAGTGTAACTCCGTGATGTGCTGAAAGTAAACGAAAGAACATTGCCTTTTGTCGCTTTCGCGTTGACGACCAAAGATTGCTCCGGACATCTGTTTACCGTCTCGCCCGTTGTATCAATCCCATCGTCGGATACTGCATCGTCTTTCTTCTGGTCATGCGATAGGGCAAAAAAAGAAAGCAAATGTTAGGTTCCCCTTCGCAAATTTAAGTCCACGTTTACAATGCGCAAATTGATGGTTACTCGACTTTCGGAGGACTTCCAACGCCGCATTAAATCATGAGGCACGGTATCGTTAGCGAGGGAAGCAAACGATGCCATTCAGGTGCAAAATTATAAAATGGCAAATTGGTACAGAAAGTAATTGTGAATGCAACTAAATAAATGCTAAATTAAACACTTACCATTGCATCTTTGCCATATTTGGATGCAAAAGACAAACAGAACACAGAGAGAAAAAAAAGCATCGTCATTAAGTATGCAAGAAGGTTCATTGTAAACAAATCTCATGGTATAGAGTTACGCATGATAAACTCGAGCGTGCTATTTGTTCAAAGCTGCTCACTTCGATAATCTAACTGAACGTGTCCCACAACTTCACTTAATACGCAGCCGCTTTGACTGTCCATCGAACAAAGGTGGTCACAGCATTGCGTACTTTCAGATGCGCTTCTGCGGCCATCTGGAACGCTCTCCCTTCTGATATTAGGAAGCTACTTGAGCTATACACTTTTAAATAATCTAGATTGAAAACTCATTTCTCTAGAACTGCTTTTTGTGTTTAGTTTGTTGTCCTCCCGCACCTCTGATTAGCACGGTTGGCTACGTACGGTGCGAAACAAGTTCAACATACATACATAATACAGCCCACATCCACATGAAGCACTTGGAACGGGTCGGAAATTTAAGCAGGTACTCGAGGAGACTATTTTTGACATGGAAACAGTTTACATTTTACTCACTTCCTGGCCAAATATTTATAAAACACCACAAGTAAACATTCACAACAATAATTACAGTACAAAAAACTTCCATTAATCATTAACTTAGTGCTTTGAAAAACGTTTTCCAGAATAGTTGATGGCAAGGCGATTTATATGATGTCATCATTTTCTGACAGGAGGTGCGTTATATATGCATTGTATATAGACTGCCAGTTACACAGACTTAAGGAAAGCTCATGTTGAGAGAAACGTAGTTGGAAAAAAACTTTCCAACAGTCTTTATCTATACCTGAAGTGCACCAAAGCACACATTTAAGAACAATTTGATAAGGTGAACTGTAATATCATATCATATCGTGGAAAATGACATCATGGGAATCGTTCAACAGCTGTACCCTATAATAGGCACTGTGAATACTTTTCAACTTGAGATAATTTGTGTTCAACAAGGAGCCCGGAGCCTTCATGAGGAGGTTGATGTGTGCCTTGTCCACTTGAACGAGGTAGGAATTCAAAACGTTGGTTATCATGGCCAGATGCTCCTCAACTGCAACACAAAGGGACACAGCACATGCACTGGCATTGGTCAACGTGTTCAACAGAGGCATATCAAAACACCAGATTCCAAACGGCAAACCGCCAGCGACTTCCTGTCATATTGCCTCTGGCCGTGACAGGCCTACCTGCAGCGCAATGGACAGCAATGGAGCTGTAGCGCACTTTAAAACTACCACAAATTATAGCTCAACGAAGCGGCGTATTATCGTGTGGAAATGTATAGAAGCCAAATACTCTGAACGCGTGTTTCTAAATGCGGAGGGGGGAAACCGGAGGACCCGGAGAAAAATCCACACCACCGCAGGGAAAACATGCAGACTCCAAATAGACAGATGTCAGGTTCGAGATCGAACCGACGACCTCCTGTATACCTAGCGAGGTAGTTAACATCTCGACCACCGCGACATCCCTCGCAGAGACGCGTGGTTCGAGCAGTACAACTGCCATGGTTAATACTGCGGACAAATTTGGTAAAACTACACAGCAACACCACCCCCTACTGTGAAACACAGGGTCTTCTCGGCAGCCATGCTCAATAAGAATTACGCAAATATCAAATGTACTCATGATCTATGTTATGTCACTGAAAGCATCACAGCTGTACTAATGGGTACAAAGAGGGGAATATTGTTTAACGTGGCATGACTGTTTCCGATTTTAACATGCACGGTAACTTCTACACCGCAAAGGCCTCTTGCAGTGACAGAGGAGATGAGTTGTGCGTGTGCCCCCCCCCCCCAAAGTAATCTGACAATCCTTTTCAGCCGTCAGGAAGGAAAAAAGTCCCCCGCCCCCCCCCCATAATCCCATCCTACAAGAAAAGCAGAAGCCCCGTCATACCTGCCAGGCCAAAGTCTGCAATGAAGCCCGCCAGTTTCTCCTGCTTCACCTTGTAATGTTCCCTGGTCACGTCATTGCTCATGGACGTGCCCGATTTCTGTGCCCGTGTCGATTTCTTGACTGCTCGCCGTTTGGGCGCCATGTCCACGCCGTCTGGTCTGCCCTCGTCTCCGGAGCTACTCTAACTCTGTTACGACGAAGGGGGGGAAAAAAAACGAACAAAACTTGAGACATCAAAGAGAGCAAAAAATTACAAGCTGCAGCTCCCCACACATCCCACAGACATGCAGAGGCGTTAGCTCATTATTATTATTATCATCAGCCATGATCGATCCAATGCTTGGAGAGCTGAATGGAGTTAAAAATAACTCACAAAATAAACGCCACTTTGTGAAGGAACCAACACAGAAGATACCTGGGATTGATATTCCACGAAGCTCAAGGTCCACCCTAAACCACATCTACACAAATCATGGCAGATGCAGATACCTGATGCACAGATGGAAAATAAACTCTCCAGTGTGCGACTGTGGTGAACCACAACAGACCATACAACGTATAATGACGCAATGCCTGATCCACAAATACGAAGGAGACATCACGGCGACCCTCTACATCAGCGGCCATACGACAAGACAAATCCAATGCTGGAAAGTCTGCCCCCAAGCTGTTTCCAACTCAGATCCTTCACCTTCCTGCGATGTGATAATCCACCTTTCACCTACAAGCCGATTTCCTCGCTCCATTCCCTCGGAAGACATCTTCTCGGATAAATTCCATTCCTTGGCATGCCACTCCTTCACTGTTATTTGGTTATCAGCCACCATGCCCTTTTTGCGAGGTTCATGCCCAAGTCTATTGGATTTTGATTGCTAGTTTGAATTGTCATTTACCTGCGTTTGCTCAATCATCAGAGCTGAACTGTAGTCAAGATTATTCGACTTCTTTAAAAGTGCGACTTAAAGTATAAAACACAGGAGTCACCAATTAGATAACGTATACATTATCTAGTGATCCCATATCCACCATCTCACAACACTGAAATCATCGGTCATGCTCAATCCACTGCTATCGACCGTACAGCAAACCCACTTTGGTCTGCAACTCCTTCACGAGGCGTCGCAAAACAACGACACGAACGCCTCTCTTATCTTACTGTAAGGTGCCTGACAACAATCGCATACTTATAGATACGCGTCTATATGTTTTAAGCACACGCTTAGCGATCTTACTTTAGCCCTAGGCCTAGGCCACTGAGGGCCTCGGATAGCGCTGCTAACATTGCAACAATTCTAACTCTGACAGTGGCCCGCCTAACCCAACCCCCCCCCCACCCCCTTTCACGATTGTAACGTTGTGTACATTAAAAAACGAAGCTGTTAAAAAAAATATTTAAGCTCACCTTTGAAAACTCGTAAACGAAATATTCACCGCCAGGTCCGAGTGTGGAAGAGTCACGAAAATTGCCGCGCGCGGAACCCGGCCCGTAAACCGCCATAGACTTTGAACGGACCAATCAGAGTAGAGCCGGACCCCGCACGGGAGGAACGTCATCAGCATCTATTATCGCCGTGCGTGATGGCGTCACACCCGTGCGTGACCAACAATAAGGGTGGTTCTGCACACGCCAACGCCGTGCGTGATGGCGTCATACCCTGCGTGACAGACATAAAGGGTGGTTGTATTTGCCAATGACGTCGGCGCGTCTCCCAGCGCTGACGCAGGGACGTCATCTCGTTACGTTGCGATGACATCACCGCGTTACGTTACCCTCCGTGTAACATCAGTACGCAACTAACTTTGTGTCTACACACGTTCAAACGCTGCCCTTAAAAGATAAAGATGTATTATATATTATTCGCAAATAAACAACGTTTCCACAGAGAGAGAGTGTTTATAATAAGGGTTGGAGAGAACACCTAACACCATTTGGGCCCGATGAGAATTACGTTTTATTAAATTTATTTTTGAAGGTTGTCTGGTTATTTAACTTTTCGTTAAGTGCGGGCCTTCATTTGTGGGCTTGTGGCTGAGTCGACCTGCTGCCCCGGTAGCACTTGTAGATTTATAGTCGAAATTCCAAACGATTTCGCGAAAATACCCCTAAAATAAACGGCAAAAAAATGCAACCGTCCTTACGTGGATTAATACTCACCGCAAACATTGCTCTGTGGCAGGGGTCGGCAACCTATGGCTCGCGAGCCAGATGTGGCTCTTTTGATGACTGCATCTGGCTCGCAAATAAATCTTAGCTGACATTTCTTTAGTTGTATTCAGTGTTAAAAAAAATATTATATGGCTCTCACGGAAATTTATTTTAAAATATGTGGCTTTCATGGCTCTCTCAGCCAAAAAGGTTCCCGACCCCTGCTCTGTGGAATTGACAACCCTGGCGAGAGAGTTGTCAGCAGCTGTGAGGGAGCGCCACCCTACGTTCATTTTACGCAGGGCCGCCGTGGGAGCGAGATGTCATCTCCCTCCCCTGTATACGGAGTTAGACTGATGTCCTTATTCTTAGTTGTCTTGTGGTTGTTGTTATTTTGACTTGCATCCCACTGGGATTTTTTTGCACAGCGTTGGTGGTGTACGGTGCTATTTCAGGAATATTTTTGATGTTTTTTTTCCTGGATTTTCTGTTTGCACAGTCACACGTAGTCACTTTAAGATGTTTTTCTTGTTCGTGTTTTTTTGTTTGTTGCGGTTGCACCCGATTCAAGAGCCGAATGGCTCACAGGGCTGTACCAAATAAATGAAACTATGAAATGAACTATATGCAGGAGGTCGCAGGTTCGATCCCGACCATTCTCTGGTCACATTATGACGCGGGGCTACGGTGGCTATGAGATGTTAACTACCTCGCCTGGTGTACAGGATGTCCTGGGTTCATTCCCGACCCTAAACGCTTGCTGTATATTTGTGTTTTTTTTTACGTGTCTTTCTCCCCGTGGTCGCGGGGATTTTTCTCCGGGTACTCCGTTTTTTCCTCCACATTTAGAAACATGCGTTTAAAGTATCTAGCTGCTGTAAATTTCCACATGAGCCACTTCCGTTGAGCTATGATGTGTGGCCAGGTCGCTTCTGAAAAATAACTACTGTGTATAGTTCAGTTAATGCGTTGGCATACTTAACATCTCAACACATTCGTCAATAACGCTAGAGGACTTTATATATATAAAAGTGGGCCTTCTGTCACGTGTGTGATGTGTGACATGTGACGATAATGGCCACAATGGAAAGTTGAAATACGGAACCACCACCTATCTTGAGGAAGCCTCTTTGTACCCGAGTAAAATCCCATTCCAGTCAGAGGTGCCACCGAACCAGGTGTGACTGGGACAGTCTGGGAATTGGCATGTGTTCAGGTGGCAGGAACTGAATTGTACCGATATCTGGTGGAATTGCGGCAGCTAAATTGTAAGGAGATCTGATGGAATTGTGGGAAATGAATTGTACCGAGATCTGGTGAAATTGTGGCAACTGAATTGTACCGAAATCTGGTGGATTTCGGAATTGTGGGAACTAAATTATACCGAGATCTGGTGGATTTCGGAATTGTGGGAACTGAATTGTACCGATATCTGGTGGAATTGTGGGAACTAAATTGTACCGACATCTGGTGGAATTGTGGCAACTGAATTGTATCGACATCTGGCAGAATTGTAGCAGCTAAACTGTACCGAGATCTGGTGGAATTGTGAGAACTAAATTATACCGAGATCTGGTGGATTTCGGAATTGTGGGAACTAAATTGTACCAAGAACTTGTGAAATTGTGGTAACTAAATTGTACCGAGATCTGGTGGAATTGTGGGAACTGAATTGTACTGACATCTGGTGGAATTGTAGCAGCTAAACTGTACCGAGATCTGGTGTAATTGTGGGAACTGAATTGTAAGATCTAATAAAATTGTGGGAAATGAATTGTACCAAGATCTGGTGGAATTGTGGGAACTGAATTGTACCGACATCTGGTGTAATTGTGGCAACTGAATTGTACTGACATCTGGTGTAATTGTAGCAACTAAACTATACCGAGATCTGGTGCAATTGTGGGAACTAAATTGTAAGATCTGGTGGAATTGTGGGAAATAAATTGTACTGAGATCTGGTGGAATTGGGGGAACTGAATTGTACCGACATCTGATGCAACTATGGCAACTGAATTGTACTGACATCTGGTGTAATTTTGGCAATTAAATTGTCCCGAGATCTGGAGTAATTGTGGGAACTAAATTGTACCGACATCTGGTAGGATTGTAGCAAATAAACTATACCGAGATCTGGTGGAATTGTGAGAACTAAATTGTAAGATCTGGTGGAATTGTGGGAAATTACTTGTACTGAGATCTGGTGGAATTGTGGGAACTGAATTGTACCGACATCTGGTGTAATTGTGGCAACTGAATTGTACTGACATCTGGTGTAATTGTGGCAACTAAATTGTACCGAGATCTGGTGTAATTGTGGGAACTAAATTGTACCGACATCTGGTGGAATTGTGGCAACTGAATTGTACCGACATCTGGCAGAATTGTAGCAGCTAAACTGTACCGAGATCTGGTGGAATTGTGAGAACTAAATTATACCGAGATATGGTGGATTTCGGAATTGTGGGAACTAAATTGTACCAAGAACTTGTGAAATTGTGGTAACTAAATTGTACCGAGATCTGGTGGAATTGTGGGAACTGAATTGTACTGATATCTGGTGGAATTGTAGCAGCTAAACTGTACCGAGATCTGGTGTAATTGTGGGAACTGAATTGTAAGATCTAATAAAATTGTGGGAAATGAATTGTACCAAGATCTGGTGGAATTGTGGGAACTGAATTGTACCGACATCTGGTGTAATTGTGGCAACTGAATTGTACTGACATCTGGTGTAATTGTAGCAACTAAACTATACCGAGATCTGGTGCAATTGTGGGAACTAAATTGTAAGATCTGGTGGAATTGTGGGAAATAAATTGTACTGAGATCTGGTGGAATTGGGGGAACTGAATTGTACCGACATCTGATGCAACTGTGGCAACTGAATTGTACTGACATCTGGTGTAATTTTTGCAATTAAATTGTACCGAGATCTGGAGTAATTGTGGGAACTAAATTGTACCGACATCTGGTAGGATTGTAGCAAATAAACTATACCGAGATCTGGTGGAATTGTGAGAACTAAATTGTAAGATCTGGTGGAATTGTGGGAAATTGCTTGTACTGAGATCTGGTGGAATTGTGGGAACTGAATTGTACCGACATCTGGTGTAATTGTGGCAACTGAATTGTACTGACATCTGGTGTAATTGTGGCAACTAAATTGTACCGAGATCTGGTGTAATTGTGGGAACTAAATTGTACCGACATCTGGTGGAATTGTGGCAACTGAATTGTACCGACATCTGGTGGAATTGTGGGAACTAAATTGTAAGATCTGGTGGAATTGTGGGAAATTAATTGTACCAAGATCTGGTGGAATCGAGATCTGGTGGAATTGTGGGAACTAAATTGTACCGAGATCTGGTGGATTTCGGAATTGTGGGAACTGAATTGTACCGAGATCTGGTGGAAGTGTGAACCGAATTGTACCTAGATATAGTGAAACTGTGCTGGTGCTCTCGGACAGTACAGTTCACGGTTTTGATATACCTAAGCTGGTCGAGAAATCTGTGTTGAGTTTAGTCTTTGTAAAAGGTGTACACTGTGCTTAAAATCTTAAATCCAACATTTTTTTTCCATTGACATTTCATCATTGACAATTAGAACACTTCGGGCAAATTACTGAATATTTTATTTTCATAATGAAACCAGACAGCGTGATATATATTTGTTCAAAGCTTCAAAAATATCAACACCTATCATTGGCCAATTAAATCACAATCTCTATTTCATTACAGCGCAATACATTTGTCAGTAAATTCACGATGCAGAGAGGCCTTCCCTTCTGCTCACGACGTTTTAAAGCAACAAACAATTACAAATAAATTGCGTAGGACACTGCTGTCGGGTTTTTTCACGGAAGCTGCGTAGCTCTCCAATGCGTTCTCGCGCCGTGCTGCGCGTTGTTCGGTAACGACGTCCGACGTTTCACTCCACCAAGCAAAACCCAATAACAAATCGGAGAGCTACATTAATTACACAGATTCGGATTTTTTTTCAGGCACAAAAAATAACAGGAAATTATTAAGGCAGTCGGCTTTCACATGCACGAGCGGATTTATTTACCTGTCCTTTTGAATAGGCATGTAAAAAAGCACAGGTTGCATCGATTTACCCACCTACATGTGATTATTGCGCTCACAATGCTTTGAAATTTTGCGTCTGCAATTCGGTCGTGTTAAAATTATGGGCACTCCCACCTCTTCCAAGGCGTCTTGGGTAGTGAGGAATAGTCGGCAATACATCCTCTAAAGGGGTTTCTTTATAGCTCCCTCTAATGTAGGTCCTTTTTTACCGCATTGGCACAAATAAGCAATCGTAACAAGCGGGGCTGCATTTTCACCATTTCCTGCCATGCTGTTTACATCTAGGAGTTATCGAGAGATCAAAACCGTAGTCACAAGATCAAACATTCAAACGAGATGGTCAATGAGCCGGAGAGAGTCGAATATCAACTTGTACACCCCCCCAAATCATGACGACTGCCAAATGTCTGGGGGGACAGTGAAGTGTCACATTGCTGATACCTATGTAATTCGGGATGTTTCCCAATTACATAGATCACCTGATGCCACGTGACAATTTCTGATGGGCAAAGAAGTTACCTAAATTGTGATGCAACTTTCTCCAGCGTCATCATTTTTCTGATCAATTCAAAACACCCATCAATTTAGATCATTCAACATTTCGTTTCTGGGCCTGATTTGCAGATTTCTCCAGGGGGGCGGGGGGGGAGAACAGGGTATAAATCCTTAAAATCAGGAACTCATCCCCCACCGTGCATCAATGACGAACGCAATTTCACGGGGACGCAAAGCGACCCAGGAAGAGCACACTGCCACTGCTGTTCTCGCGGATGAAGAAAATGAACGGGTGATCCGCGCGGACGACGGGGCCCATCCTGGCGCAGCGCATCATCACGATCGCCGCGGTGGCCGCCGCGGCCTCCGTGCCCTCCTCGTTGACCTCCACGAAGGCCTTGTGGGCTACGTGCGACACGTAAAGGTCCCGCGCCCCGTTGATGCCCGAGAAGTCGGCCTCCCCCTGCGTGAAGACCGAGGCCATGCCCAGGCGCTGCAGGTGCTCGTTGAGCGTGTAGGACTTCTCGAGGCGGAAGTGCGGCAGGTGCAGCTCCACCTCCAGCTTGCTCATGTTCTCGGGCGAGGTCCACTGCCTCAGGGATTTGAGGGTCAGCGCTGACTCCAGCTGGAGAGACACGACGACAGCAGCAGCAGCGACGTGTGTGAACACAACGTCGCCAAAGTCGCCGTCACGTACACGCCGCCACGTATTCTCCTTTCTTTAGGACAGTTTTTTATGTTTAGTTCCCCCGCACCTCCTATTGGCACTTTTGGCTATGTACAGTGCGAAAGTAGTTCAACATATATACATACCATCATTATCATCAGCATCAACACTAGTGCGAAAGTAGTTCAACATACATAGATACCATCATTATCATCAGCATCAACACTGTCCAGGTCGTTAACGTCATGGTGATTACCACCACCGTCATCATTAGTGTAATCACTATCATCAGTACCCGTTATCAATATCTACTACGTCCTCATTGGAGCTCACCAGAGCTCCCTCCAGCGGTGGCCCCTTCTCCAGTAGTGGTGTGAGTGAGCAATTGTAGGGCTGCGCCCAGTGCCGGATTAAGCTAGTGCGGGGCCTGTAGAATATGTTATAAAAGGGCCCTAAATATTTAAAAAAACTAATATTAAAACACATTTTTTTACTTGCATAGTAAAGTAATTGTATTTGTTCATTTGCTATACAGCAAGATAATACGACAAATCGCGAAGCTTAAACACCCAGTCGTTCATAAAAATTGTAGGCAGTATAGTACTATAGTAATAGAGCAAGTACAGAATCACTGAACCAGAATTGATAGCTTGAAAGCGTTTAGCGCGGGGCCCTTGAAATTGCGGGGCCCAGGGCATGTGTGGCTACTTTTGCTACTAGGATAATCCGGCCACAGGCTGCGCCTTACCAGGCCCGCTTTCTACGAACAACCAAAACATCCCGATGCAGGAATATTGTGAACGTGTCTTCGCAGCTCCGCGAGGTGGCTTGTGTTTTTTTACCCCCATGAACACGCCACATCTCCAGTACCTTCTCAAGTCCAGTTGTCTCATCCTCGATGGCCAGAGGCACCAGGATCACCATGCTCAGTTTATGTCCCTCGTAGGGCAACTCGACAATGTTGACGTTCAACTCTTCCACGTGAGAAAAATTATACTTGGCCTTTTTGTACATCATCTTCACGGGCTTTTTCTCATTCTAAAAGGAGAAAAAAGAAACAATTGCCATAAGAGTTGCACGCGAATCGTGCGTCGTTATTTTTTTTTTTTGGTCGTTGTAAATTCATACCAGAGCTGGACCGGTGGGACAATTAAGTTCGTTAAAATTGTAATCGACTCCCATTTTTTCGTGGTCGTTTACTCAAGAGTACCTTTGAAACTGGTGACCGCCTCGACACCCTCCCACCCCCCAAACAACAAGCCACGCCCGACGATTATGTCATCAAAGGCTGCCCTCCACCTCCCGTCCAGTGGCACACGTGGGAAAACAGCGGCGAGGCATTCGTCTTCACATTGTTCTCTCGTTATCCCATTAGTTAAGAAGTAGAAATGACAAATCGGCAGACTAATTGTTTTAATGACTTAAATACGTGTAAGCCAGCTGTAATTAATATACACAGAGGATGGCAACAAGCCCCCTATTTAATGTTATAACTGTTTGGCAGTTGGCCAGGTAGCTCAAGAGTGGTAAAGGGTCCAGAACCAGCATCGCCGGGAACCTGGCGGAATAAAAAGAGGTTCCTCAAGTGTCGAATTTAGTTTGCCACTTAATATGGCTAAATACCATCTCTGACAAAACTGTATAAATCTTTGTCTGTCGGACATTACGCAGAATTAGGATTTGGGGGGGGGGGGGGCAAAAAGACCAAGCTGCTCATAATCATCTGAAATGTCCCCACCACTGCGATGAGCCGAAGTAGTTACAGAGCTTAACTAGTTGGACCTATCACAGTGGGTGGGGGGGGAGGCGATGTGTTTTTTTACATTGCATCGATCATAATAATCATCTGCCGTGGTCAATCCACTGCTGGATACACGGCCTCTCTGAGAGATGCCACCATCTCTACTGTGGTTCAGTATTGCAACAATCCACGCAGCAGCTGCCCACGTGCCGATGTCGGAGCCTCCCGTTTCCTCGGTGTACGCTCTCTCGGGCATTCAATCATTTAAATTCGTCAACGCAATTTACCCGGATAATTCCCTTGAAGGTTGGAAGCATCGCGTTTGCAAGTATATCCAGGTTGTCAAGTGACACGTTCACACGTGTAAAAAATTACTCAGTGGTTAACCGTGCAAGCATCGGCCGTGTCTCGCCGCGGTTCGAGTCAATTGGGACCGCAGGCTGGGGTGTGGCTGTGCAGGTGGTGACGCACGGTGGTTTAAGCTGCAGTGGTTCTCAACCGGGGATACGCGGACCCCTGGGGGGTACGTGGGGTGATTTGTAAATGCGTGAAATTCTATTATGCATATTGAGTCATTGGTGAATGATCATGTTCGACTCTGCTAATATGAAATAGCGATTACAATTTTAATCCATATGGTAAGCTAGGATATAAAAAAAATAACTTTTAAACTCATTTATCGTAAACAATGTGGTTACCAAGAGTAACCGGCGTGCGTGAACAAATGACGTCACGCACGCAGGGCATCCGTGGATTTTCTTTATTTTTATTTTATTCGCTTGCAGTTACTTGGCTGGTTAGGATACCTCGATTAAAAAAAAAAAGTGGACAATTGGTTAAAATGTTGATGTGAAATTTTTTGTACACTTACTTCTCAGAACCATGTTGGGTCAGTGCAAACGGGGGGTGGGTGGGTGGTACTCAGTTGAAATAAAATTCAACAAGGAGGGGGTGCTGGGGTTACACAGTAGCCAATAAAAGTGTTGACAAGCCATGGCTGCCACAACTGCACCTTGTTAATTTTAAACTCCGCGTCCCTCGTGACTTCGGGGTCGAACTTGGCGTCCCAGCTCCCCTTGAAATAGACGGCATTGACGAGGACGAGCCTGGTCAGGGAGTTCACCACTCCCGACGCCAGGAGGTCCTGGATCTTACCTGCGGGAAGCAGAATAATCGTGGCTCCCCCTCATTGGGAACGTACGTGTGTGCGTGTGCGTGCGCACGTATGTATGTATGTATGTTGTACGCGCGTTGGAACTTCTCCCGCACCGTATGTCGCCAACCGTGCTAAATCGGAGGTGCGAACTTGGCATCTGCGTAAAATAATGAGTACACTGGGTATTCATATCTAGGGGACTTTTGAATTTACAGCACTGCACACAAATAATTAGTACACTGGGTATTCATATCTAGGGGACTTTTTTTTGCCAGAATCAAAGTATGAATTTACAGCACTGCACACAAATAATTAGTACACTGGGTATTCATATCTATGGGACTTTTTTTTGCTAGAATCAAAGTATGAATTTACAGCACTGCACACAAATAATTAGTACACTGGGTATTCATATCTAGGGGAATTTTTTGCAAGAATCAAACTATAAATTTACAGCACTGCACACAAATAATTAGTACACTGGGTATTCATATCTAGGGGAATTTTTTGCCAGAATCAAAGTATGAATTTACAGCACTGCACACAAATAATTAGTACACTGGGTATTCATATCTAGGGGACTTTTTTTGCCAGAATCAAAGTATGAATTTACAGCACTGCACACAAATAATTAGTACACTGGGTATTCATATCTATGGGACTTTTTTTTGCTAGAATCAAAGTATGAATTTACAGCACTGCACACAAATAATTAGTACACTGGGTATTCATATCTAGGGGAATTTTTTGCAAGAATCAAACTATAAATTTACAGCACTGCACACAAATAATTAGTACACTGGGTATTCATATCTAGGGGAATTTTTTGCCAGAATCAAAGTATGAATTTACAGCACTGCACACAAATAATTAGTACACTGGGTATTCATATCTAGGGGAATTTTTTGGCAAGAATCAAAGTATAAATTTACAGCACTGCACACAAATAATTAGTACACTGGGTATTCATATCTAGGGGAATTTTTTGGCAAGAATCAAAGTATAAATTTACAGCACTGCACACATATAATTAGTACACTGGGTATTCATATCTAGGGGACTTTTTTTGCAAGAATCAAAGTATACATTTACAATAATGCACAAAAATAATTAGTACACTGGGTATTCACATCTAAAAGAGACATTTTTGCAAGCATCAAAGTATCAAAAATTATGAACTGCTCACCCAAAGCTATTAATGACCTGATACTTTTACATTGTCTTTGTACTGTTCACTTTTTTGGCGCGCTCTGGTCTGGTGAGAGACGAGGCCATAAAGAAGTCTGTCTCTGGTGTAGGCCAATCAGTTTCAAAGACAATACCCATAGATTATCAAAGCACGTCGGTTTGCACGTTTTGCCACAAGTCCTGTGTGTGATTAATACAGACTTTGTTATATGTAAAATGTTTCTATTTGGTGTTTGAACAACTTAACACGACACCTGTTTCATTGCCAGAATGGGTGACATCTTTTTGGCACCAATCTCCTTCATGTCATCGTCAAGCCGTTCTCAGTTGGGTCTTCCTCTACTTTCCTGACACTTACATTTTTCCAAACAACAACAACAACAAGGTTTACATTTTCCCGTTGTTGTTCATCCTACACGTGCCCAAATAGCGCCAGCTTCCTTGTCCAAAAGACCCTCGTGTACTGCAAAAGCTTCGCCGAATCTCAAGTCTAAAACGACGGACGTTGCTTTACAGCGGCAATCCACCGATGGGTCAAAGCAGCCGCCACGCCGCCTGGTGGACTTTTACCTTCCGTTTGACCCTCGACCCACGCGTTGATCTCCTTGCGCGCCTCTTCAAACGCCCCCTTGAAGTTGACAGCCGCCAGCTCGGCTTGGTAGAACTTGGCGGAGGAGTCCAGGAAGTCCTGGCAAGCGGTTCACGCCGACGAGGCGAGTGGCGTTTAAGGAATGCGAGTCGCGGTCACGGCACAGCGCACCAATCGCATCGATTCTCCTTCTTTCGTACGGCGGCCGACGTGTCGATTGCAGAGCAACGACTACAATTCCACATGCAGGTGGTGGGTCAAGCCACAGACGACCGCGTCAGGAGCAGCGGAGTGTATCATCGCCGTGATGCCTCCTTCGTGTTTGTGAATCGGGCAGTATTGCATCGTTAGACGTCGTACGCTCCGTTCTGGATGACCACGGTCTCGCCTGCTACTGGAGGGCTTTTTTATTTTCCATTTGTGCATCGGGTATCCATGTCTGGCATGCATCAGGCATCGCATCTGCCATCAAATCAAATGCTATTAGCCAGAGCACCTTCTTCATATCATATTACACCCGTTTTGGACTCCCTACACTGGCTTCCAGTTTCACATAGAATACAGTTTCAAATCCTATTGTTAACTTACAAAGCGGTGAACCATCTTGCCCCAGCCTACATAATTGACATGCTGCACCCATGTGTCCCCCTCAAGGTCCCGAAGATCTGGGGATGCAGATCTTCTCTGCATTCCCAGGTCGAGGTTTCCCGTCTATGAGTGAACGCTCTTCCACGTGGTACCAGTGATCTCGGAGCCTGTGGACATTTAAAAAATGCGTCTTAAAACCTATTTATACGTTTACGCTTATTACATTGAGTTCATTTAATAAATTATTCTTAAAATGTATTTATAGTATAATGTTTTTTTTATGTTGAGTGTCTGCTGCTGCTGTGTCCTGCACAGCGCTTTTAGATCCTTGATTAAAAGCGCTATAAACATGTCATTATTATTATTATTATTTTTCGTACCCCAATTATCTAGCGAGGCTATTACAATTGAGGAATATATACATGTATCTTTTTTAGACGATTACAGTCTACAGTAGTTTTACAGCAGGCGGTGCCCTGTTACTGCGGTGGCTTCAGCGTATTTGGAACTTTGCGAGTAACTTTAAAATTTGGGCCATTACGCCGGAATGTTCGGCCGGCCGCTTTTCGAATGATGTCACGGGATCTTAAACGTCCACCGTGAAGCCGACAAAGCGTGTCTTTTTGGCGACTATCCCCGCAGTATTAACCGGGGTGTGCCCGGGGCTTGAATCGCAAACCTCTGGAACAAGGAGCAAATTCGCTCCTGCTAAAGCAGTGGTTTCTTCTTAACCCGGGGTGCACTCCACCCCCTGGGCGTGCGAGATGCTCTTTTTGGGGGTGCGAGACATGGCCAGATTTTTTTTTTTTTTAGAAGGTAAACATTCGGAACAGAAATTAAGCACGGGCACGTGAGCACAACTAATTTGTTTCCATGAAAACCGATGTATTTATTAACATTATACATTTTTTTTTACGACTGAGAGCCAAAGGGAGTGCAAGGCTGCAGTAACGATTACGAACCACCGCGCTAAAAGATGTGTAGATAAGCCTACGTTATTTTTTTTCATTTTAATTTGTAAATTCACATTATTGCGTATAACATACTGCTTAGTCCATATAAGTGAATACAGTATTTCATATTCTTAGCTCTTTCGGTAAAGTCACATTGAAGGGAAACAATAAAATAATAAAATCTATTATTTTAATAATAAAATATATTATTTTATTGTTTCCCTTCAACGTGACTTTACCGAAAGAGCTAAGAATATGAATTACTGCAGTCACGAAAGCCTTAAATCAGAATACAGTGTTGTTTCCTACAAATTCTTTAAGGTCAAGAGGTCATCACGGCTTGTGCCTTTAGTGCCACGATACCTCATCATTGCTTCCTTCTGCTTCTCTCCTTCCACCACAACCGTAGCTGTTGTAAAGATAACGCGCGACCTTCATCGACCGCTCTCATAGTGTCCCACCAACTGGCTTTATATGCCTTCTCCTTGGTCACGGACCTCAGTGTCACTCCAATGCCCGCCTCGGTTACCTGCCCTCCTTCATCGCCCCCCCCCCCCCCCCCCCCCCTCTTTAAAAACGACAGCTTCCGCGCGACATTCTGTCTCTCGAATGCGGGAATCACCCCCCACCCCCCTACAAAGCCACGCCCAGCGTGACACGGATGACCACGTCCAAAGCGTCACCAAGTCCCGCCCATCACCTCCAGGCCAGCGGCACACGATACATATTTTTTTTTTTCCGCCACCGTGTTTTCATTCGCGTATTCGTGGAATTTTCACCACCCACTTAGGGCTGTAAAAACGTGATGAGAGCAAAGCAGGCACAATGCTCCTTCAACCGAAGAAAAAAACCCCGACCGACTGACTGACATGGACATGCGCAGACAAAGCAGCGTGGTTGCAATTGACCTCTCACCTGCAGAAAGTTGTACCCCTTCTCGCCGTACAGGCGGTTGGCCATGCGCAGCACGCTGCCCTGCGTGGTGGAGCTGAAGGCGCCCAGCAGCGACTGGTAGGCCCCGTGCACGTCCTCCACTCCGTCAAGGTGCAGCGACTGGTCGCGTAGGGCCGGGAAAACACGCACGCACGCACGCAAACACAGACGGATATATTAGTACCGTTACCAATTCACACACAAGTGATTCGCGTTCGTTTAAGCCGACGGGGTGGGTCAGCGGTAGAGCTGACGGCACGCAATCGGGAGTTTGCGAGCTTAAATTCTGGTTGTGCGTCGACTCGGGCTCATCATCTCTCCGAGGTTGATACAAGGACCGCTTTTTGGTTGTCCTAAGGATCGACTCGCGCCCCTGCCACAGGAATATGGAATTTCCACCACCGACTCACAGCTGTAAATACAAGATGAGCACTGCCACCATGCTCATCTGGGAAACAAAAAAAATCACTGACTTTATTCAATTTAATAAATGCAAATATAAACTGTTATTTTGTTTATATTTGATTGAATCGATCAGCAGGCCATGTGCGGTGTGGTTGGGTAAAAGAGCGGGTACTCCCCACCACTTCCAAGACATCTGGCCAGTGTGGAAGAGTAGGCCAAATACCCACCAGGACTTCTCCAGAATTTCCTGGAGTTGGAGGCCCTTCCGCCAGCAGTGGCAGCGGCGTGAGCAAAGGATTGGGCCTGGATTCGAGACTCTGGATAACTCCACTAATTTCCAACGAGTCATGAGGCTTTGAATATTCCACTTGGGGAGTTCCAGTTTATTCCACGGCCACAACGTACACACACAAACCTGCTACGCAGTGACAGCATAGTGTTACATACAGTAACCAGGTGTCTATGGTGTAACCAGGTCCCCGTTAAACATGTCCCTTTATTGCCCAACGGCTTTTACCCGTGCAAAAAATAAAACCCTAACCTAACGTCATTTTAATACACGAGCACCAATTTAATACCGTGAAAAATGTGCTCGGGGATTTGTGAACATGTACGTACGTATGTATGCACCGTACGTAGCCACACCGCGCTAATCCGGAGATGAGGTGTGTCACCACATGCACTGTGGTGACACCATGAGAAATATATTTTTTGGTTGTGCGTTCAGCAGCTGTCCTTGCGTAGCAATGAGTCAGCCAAACGGAACGTTGTGGGCATACGATGAACTCAACGCCCATTTTAAGAACAGAATTGTTAGGTCCTCTTCATCCCCTATTGAACACGAGGCCGCAATGAGCTACCTCCCACTTCTTCCTGTCCTTGGCAACATTTTGAGCCTCGCCCCAAGAAATATTAATCGCTGCCGCCATCTCGTCCTTCACGGTAATCGCTTCGTTTCACGGAGGACTCGGGCTGTCTCGTACTTGGTGCGGACGTTCCGCGGCTATGGGACCCGGGAGGCTCTCCTTCACACTCCTGACTTCCAAACAGGAGTGGTCATACCGCCTACGACGAACTAGAAAGCTCCCTTCCTCACACACGTGAGGTTGATCGCTGCCACCATCTCCTCCTCCAGAGTCCTGCGCCAGGTGGTCTTGGCTCTCCCAGGTTGCCTTCTGCCCGGTGGTGTCCATCATAGGACGAAGCAAGCAAACATGTTTTTTGTCTAATCCGCTTAACCCTTTCAATCTATAAAATCCAAGCGAGATGACCAAAGGGGGATGGCAGACAAGAGATATACGGTAGATGTAGTGAGATAAGAGAAGTGTAGACAACAAATGGAGACGCACTGGGATGAGAGATGTGGGCATGAGAGAGAAGATAAATTCTCTGGGAGTTGTTTTTACTTTCATTACCTTGTTACTGATTTTTTTATTAGGATTTGAATTTGAGCTTATGCGTCGCAGTAGGCGATCAAAATTCCCTTTTTGCCACCCAAGAAATATTGCCAAGATGCTTTGCTTCCTGTCAACTGCCGACTTGGAGCGACTGGTCCATGCTTGTGTGTCATCTCAACTTGACTAGCGCAGCGTCTCAATGGCTGGGATTCCGAGCAAAGTGCTGGGCAGACTCCACCTTGTTCAAAATGCAGCTGCTTGAGTGCTCACACCACGTACCCCAATTCCGTAAAAGTATTTCACCAGTCCTCTTATCTCTTCATTGGCCAACGGTCAACTTCCAAGTAGATTTTATGATACTGCTCAACTTCCAAGTAGATTTTATGATACTGCTATCTCCATATATATATAAAAGGCAAAGTTATGAATATGCGTGTCTGTTCAAAATGTTTAGCGTACTTCCCGACATGCAACAAACTTGACATTTGCCATGTGGGTACTTTCCAGACTGTACACCATGCAAAAATTATAAAAATACACTTGTTTTTTTTGGAGGGGTGGGAGCTCAATAATGCATATATATTTTTTGCACGGCACGTGAGCTGACGTCAAATCTGTCATGTGACCCGCGCATGTGGAAGCGTAACACATTTAGTGTAGCGGTTAGCGCGCCGCGCTTCGAACCCGGCGACCCCAGTTCGATTCCCGCTCACGGCCACCACCGGTGACGATTATTTTTACCGGTCCTGGGCCTCCCCTAGGTCGACTCAGCATCAAACGAGTAACTGCTCTGCTGTGTGAACATCGCCACTGGGGAGACAAAGGCGGCGGGCGTGGTGAATCCAAGTCCCGGGCGAAGCCGGGTAGTACAGCTAGTTCACCTATAAGGCTTTAAAAGAGCTCACCCCACAGCAATTGCATGAACTAATACACTTCTATATTCCAACAAGGTCCTTAACATCTTCCGATCTCCAACTGCTCAGCACTTCCAGGTCTAAGGTGCACTCTTTTGGTGATCGGTGCTTTTGTTAGCGTGGCACCCACAATGCTATGGAACGCCTTGCCACTTGAAGTAATCTCTTTAAAGTGGCCTTCCTTCTTCAGTTCGGTCGGTTGGCCCCTGGTTCTGTTTTAGCTTCCTGCTTTTCATGCGTTGCGCATTGGGATCCAAGGATGGAATGCACATTATACATTTGGATTATAATTAGTTCATGCACTCCTTATTCTGTCATGACTTAGGAGCCGTGAGTTGCTCAGGGCCCTCAGCTTTCGCTTGGTTTGCTTGAGCCGAGTACTGCCACGGACCGAAGTGGAATTCACTGATCTGGGGTACCGCACTGCGTAGCCTTAACAAACCCACCACTTTTCTTTAAAAAATATATATGTATCATATTTCACGCGTAAAAAAGTGTAAACCTTTAAAATGTCAGTGAGATTCTGTTGGATATTTATTAACCACGCGGCACACTCAAGCCACGAGTATTCCGATGACTAAAAGACTTTGCCTATTTTATACTTCATAAAACTTTATAAGGTTGACAACTGTTGTGCAATATTTGAGCAAAGTTTGTCAAGCCCTGCCTCACAAAATGCAACCACAGCCAAAGTGAAATGTTGCTACACAATTGCTTTCACCGTATGTACTATACTTTCTTTTATTATGCTTGTTTAACCAAGAACGCCTCACTCTTTTTCAAGGAGGGCCCTGCTAAAATGTTGCAGTCGCGTCCAACGTTGCTGTTGCTGCTGTTGCTACAGCTGTGTGTAATCCCAATTGAGTAATTTGCAGGTACAGGAACTCCTCTACCTAGTGCGTTCAGCTTACGAACTATCAGAGATGCGAACAAACCTGTCCGTATGTCCAGTTGCCCGTTCGGACGGAGAGCCGTAAGTTCAACCACCGCGCCATAGATGGCGGTGGTGGCATCTACATCTGCAGAAACGTGAACAACCAGTGGCATCTACAGAAGATTATACAACTTGTAAAGCCATTCCCCATGTTTAGTGTACATGCCGTGCAACATGTTTGGAATCGACAGGCGTAAAGTTGGAATTACGTGCAAATCCACTAGCGAACGGACCTCTGGAACCTAACTCGTTCGTAAGTAGGGGAGTCCCTGTTACTGTAATTATTGAAGCATTGGGGGGGGGTGTGTTTAGCTACGTCCAGTTACATTGTCTGGTGTTTATTTTAGCTATGGGAGGTAAATCAGAGTAAACGGACAAAGCCCAAACAGAACAGGGGACACAACTTGGCAACCGTACACAAAAAAGTCACCGCAGTTTGGAATCGAACCAAGGGGCCGTTTTGCTACGAGGTGCAAGTTGTTACCGCTGCGCCACGTAACCGCACCAAAATTATCCACACAAATGCCAGAATCTATTAGTCACGGGCTTAGCTCAGGCTTAACTCTGGCTCAACTGAGCCGGCTCAAAGCCGCGCGTAACGCAAGGAGCCAGGCACGCTCGGGACTTCCACGGAGCCAAAGCCCCGAGCCGAGCCATGGCTGAGCCACGGCCGAGCCACGGCCGTGGCTCGGCCGTGCCACGGCCGTGCCACGGCCGAGCTGCTCGCGAACATTCTAAAGCGACCGAGTGACTCAAACCTGAGCCGAGCCGTGCTAGGAAGCCAAGGCAGAGCCGAGAGCCATGACTATAAGAAATATGACCCCTAAGACATTAAAAGTTCCATATAACGGGTACAAGCGTTTCGAAGAGAAGGCAGCATGAAGCTACACGAAAATAACATGACTGAAAATGCATAAAAACCACAGGCGGAGTTTGACTTCTTTATTTGAGGGGGGGGGGGGGGAGAAGGGGCAGGGTTTATATTTGCCCCTGACATTAGGAATTAATTAAAACATTAAAATCTTTATTCTAAAATACTGAAGTAAATTATTTAAACCCAAATGATGAAACAAACGGCTCCAATGTGATGATCTAACCGACATGCACACGCCTCATCCTAGCTCGCCTCATCCCAGCTCGCCTCATCCCAGCTCGCCTCATCAAGAGGGCAATCTTCACGTGAAAGTGCGCGCACAGAGGCAGCGTTTACAGGAAGCAAGATTATTAGTTGTTTTTCTTTGGGGGGAGCAAAACCTCCCCAACAACTGGTACAAACAAATCTGGGAAAAGTTATTCTTTTAAATCACATACACCGTGGATTGGCTTTGGACATATGTATAAAATATATAACACGTAGGAGGCTTACACGACCAATGTTATCCACAAGAGGTTGTTGGGTTAGATCGCGTAAACATAAACGTGTCGTAAATATAAATGTGTCGGGTGGTGGCGGGTTTAACGGCACCTTTA